ATATTCACCATCAATATTTTTATTACAGTATTGTGATGATGCTGATACTGATTCTGATGCTGATGCTGATGATGATGCTGATTATGCTGATGAGGATGGTGGTAGTGGTGGTGATGCTGATGATGCTTATGATGGTAATCATGACGATGACGATGACGATGACGACGGGGATACTGCTGCTGCTGCTGCTGCTGCTGATGATGATGATGATGATGATGATGATGATGATGATGATGATGATGATGATGATGATGCTGATGACGATGATGATGAGCAGGAGGAGAAGAAGGAGGAGGAGAGGGAGGGGGAGGGGGAGGAGGAGGAGGAGGAGGAGGAGGAGGAGGAGGAGGAGGAGGGGGGGAAAAAGAGGATCAGCAGGAGGAGGAGAGGCGGAGGAGGAGGAGGAGGAGGAGGAGGAGAGAGTAGGAGTAGGAGGAGGAGGAGGAGGAGGAGGAGGAGGAGGAGGAGGAGGAGGAGGAGAGGAGAGGAGAAGGAGGAGAAGGAGAAGGAGGAAGAGGAGGAGGAGGAGGAGGAGGAGGAGGAGGAGGAGGAGGAGGAGGAGGAGGAGGAGGAGGAGGAGGGGGGAGGAGGAGGAGGAGGGGGGAGGAGGAGGAGGAGGAGGATTCGGAGGAGGAGGAGGGAGGAGGAGGAGGAGGAGGAGGAGGAGGAGGAGGAGGAGGAGGAGGAGGAGGACGAGGAGGAAGAGGAGGACAAGGAGGAGGAGGATTTGGAGGAGGAGGAGGAGGAGGAGGAGGAGGAGAAGGCGGATTAGGAGGAGGAAGAGGAGGGGGCGGAGGAGGAGGAGGACGAGGAGGAGGAGGGGAGGAGGAAGAGGAAGAGCAGGAGAAGGAGGAGGGGAGGAGGAGGAGGGAGAAGAGGAGGAGCGATTCCGCAGGCCGACAGGAGCCAAGCGGAGGAGCATCAACAGGGTTAGTTTGGAGTAATAAGGAATCAATGATGGAGTAAGAATAGAGCACGACCGCAGCAACAATGGCGTACTACTGGGGTACGTGTAACGTTGAAGCAAACGTGGAGCAGCACTGGGGCAACAACTGAATGCACATGGATACATACCTGCGTGACGGTTGAGTAAGAAAAGACCCTGAACGAAGCAGTAATGGCGCAATATTGGGCAAGGATGGAGCAAGACTGGACCAATAATGGGATAATGCTGGAGCACGAATGGAGCAGCGCTTGAGCAGCAATGGAGCAATATTCGCATAGTGTGGGGTATGACGGGAGTAGTAATGGAGCATGAACGAAGCAATGATTGAGCAACCATGGAGCAAACGTGGAACACACTGGGACAACTCTGGAATACCAATGAGTACATAACGGCGTGATAGCTGAGTAAGAACCAAGCATGGACGAAGCAGCGTTGGAGTAGTAAAGGAATAAGAATGGAGCAAGACTGGAGCAATCATGGGATACTAATGGGGCAGGAATGGAGCAATACTTGAGCAGTCATGGAGCAATAGTCGCAACTAGAAGGGAGTTAAGACTTGACTGATACCGGAGCACGGGCGAAGCAAGATTCGATCAACAATGAATCAATAATGGAGCAACTATGAAGCAATAGTGGAATACTAATGGGGCAAGAATGGAGCAATAGTTGATTACGAACGGAGTATGCAGGAGCATCGAAGCAAAACTGAAGCAATAGCAGAAGAAGAAGGGAGCGATAGTGGCGCAACAAGGGAGTAACATTGGAGCAATCGTGGATCAGCCATGGAGCAGCAGTGGAGCAATCTTCGAGCACTAACGGCGTAAGAACGGACTAATGATGAAGCATGAGCGAAGCAAGATTGGAGCAATAATGGAGCAATGATGGAGCCATAATGGAGCAATGCTGGAGCAAGAAGGGAGCAATAATGGAGCCATGCTGCTGTAATGTAATACTGGAGCAAGAACGGGGCACCAATCCTCGGCAGGCCCCATCGGGAGAGCACTCCAGGAGGCGCGAAGGGGCTCCCGGGAACGTTCCCGAGACGCTTCGGCCGGCGGGAGGAAACGAGGAGAGTTTCGCAGGAGCTGCTCGACGCGTCCTGCGAAATGATCTTCCTGGTTTCCTTCCTCCCCCCCTCTCCCCCCCCAAAAAAAATCTTCCTCGTTTCCTTCCCCCCGCCCCAGTTCCTCTCCTCCCTTTCCTCCCCCATCCTTTCGTCCCCCCTTTCCCTTCCTTTTGGGCTCGCTTCGCGGGGTGCGCGTTCAGATCCTTGCGCCCGTGCCCCTCTCTTCCAGCTGGGCTCGTTGCGGCGGGGCGCTGGGACAGGATGGATTTTGGCAAGACGGGGGTAGTCGCCGAGTAATGTAACACGGTAAGAATGGAGGAATAATCCAATTCGAATTTCGCAAAATTGGAACACAACATGGGTAATGTTTGAGAAAAATGGAACAGGAATGGAACAGCGTTGGAGTAGACATGGACTGGTAATGGAGAGCTAAGGGGAGGAGGCGGCGAGGGCCACAAATATTGGATGAGAGGAGGAGGAGGAGGAGGCAACACATGTATTCAGAAGCTTTATCGTCCGACAGAACCTGGAAGGACAGGGAAAGGGGAGAGGAGGAGGGAGAGGGAGGTAGACGGATTGAGATGGAAGGTGGGGATCACGCGGTTTGCCGAGAGAGTATTGCTAGTTTGATGCGCGCGGGACAAGTGGTAATTGACCCTGCCTTCCAGGCATGCCCAACCTCCAGCGACGGCACTGCTCATTGAAGGTGAGATACAGGATGGAGGAGGATGAGGAGGAGAAGGAGGAGGAGGAGGAGGAGGAGGAGGACGCAAGCGAAACTTGTGCCAACTCCGATTGCTGCCGCCCGCTGCGCCCGCACTGCGCTCCAATGAGACGTCCATCGAGCTTTCTGAACAGTGCAGCGCGAAGGCAGTCGCCAAGCGCTGCCGCCTTTGCGCGCGATTGCGCGTCCTTTAAGGTGGACGGCGCATCAGGCCGAAGGCCCTTGGGAACTTATGAGGGAACGAATCATAACTTGGACCGGTCGTTCGGCGACTCGAGGCCCTCTTGGATTGTCTTGGGGGCCCACTGGGGCCCTCTTGGGCCCCAACAAAGTAACACGAGAAGACGTGCCGGGTCCTGGGAGGCACGCTGGGAAACTTGGGAGATTCAGGACTTGGGAATCCGGGCCCCTTAGGTACTCAGTCCTGAGGACAGGGCTACACTGGACCCGATGGCACTTTAACTTGTGCCTCGCGGCACGGTGGCGGATAATTGAGAGCCGTTCAGGCTCCGCACCCGTGGCTCGCGGAGGCCAGCCCGCTCTGCGGCGCTCGACTAGACCCCGTGCTGCGTCGAGCAGGACCTCTCCCCCGCCGGCCCCAGGAATCCTGGCCCCCGTTCCAGCTGAACGACATAGTGTCCAAGGTCGTCAGGACGCCGCCGCCCCGCGCACGCATCCCGAGTCATCCGTTTCGCGTTTCTTTCGCGTGTCTCTTCTTCCCTCCTCCATCCGTCTTCCTTACGAGTAACTCTTACTTGTCGCATCCCCAAACGTGTCGGTGCGGCGGAGTGAGCGTTTCGCCTGGGACTTTCCCATCAGGTATGATCTTTAGGTTTGAAGTCTACAACACGGTCACAGGCTGAGGGCGGGTGGTTTTCAAAATGTGGCTCTCGCTTTAGCGCCGTGCACATTCGTTTCAAAGTTTTCAGCAGCTTCACGCATGGAGGGCGGGTGGTTTTAAGAGTGTGGCTCTCGCATTCGCGCCGCGCGCATTCGTGTTCACAGTTTGCAGCCGCTTTACGGATGGAGGTTCAGTTCTTTTCAAATCGTGGCTCTCGCTTTAACCCGCTCATGCATGGTGAGCGCGTGGTTTCAAATTATGGCTCTCGCTTCAGCGCCGCGCACATTCCTTTCAAAAGTGAGCAGCAGTTTCACGGACGGCGGGTGGGTCGTCTTCATTTCGTGACAAGTTGCGGAAGTTTCACGGATGGAGAGCGCGCGGTTTCAAAACATGGCTCTCGCTTCAGCGCCGCGCACAGTCCTTTCAAGAGTGAGCAGCAGTTTCACGGACGGAGGGCGGGTCGTTTTCCCATTTTGTGGGTCTCGCGGTAGCGCCGCGCGCATCTCAGGTTTATAACGGTTTTCAGGGTTCGAGTGGTGCGCACAGCGGGTAAGGCGTCATAGCACAAGTGCGGATTGCTGGTGGGCAGTCGTCCTGTTGACTCGCGGTGTTGAAGTCCCCAGAGCTGTGTGAATGGCATGGTCTAGGAGTGTCAGTACGCAGCAGCCACGTTGATCCGCGGCGTTGGAGTCCAGGTAACGGTGGTTGGGCATGACTGCGGGTCGTCTTCTACTTGGCCACTTCCCGCAGTGGGAATGAATGTTTGTTGGGACCTATGCCTATGAAGACGGAACTTGGAGGGAGGTTTTATTGCAACATGGAGGGAAGTTGTATTGCAGCATCGTTGATGCGTCTTGGATTTGCACTGGTTCTCCTCCTCCTCCGCCTCCTTCTATGCCCTTGGAAGGCTCGTCCTCCTCTTCCGCCTCGTCCTCCTTCTCCTCCTGCTCCTCCTCCTCCTCCTCGTTCTCCCCCTCCTCCCTCTCTCTCTCCCTCCTTCCTCTGTCCGTCTCTCTGGTGCATCCAAGTGGGCCACGTTCTGGCCGACGCCCTGGGCAAAGGACAGGCACGGCTTCGCCTGAACGGTGGTCGGCAGTAGTGCTGATGCACCTTGCGCGTGCCCGTTCCCCGGCGGCTGGGTCTCGCACTTGCGAAACAATTTCATGGGTTTTCGGAAAACCGCCGATTCCTCATCGCCGACTCGCCAACTGACGGGGCGCACATGCGCCGGCGCAACTTGCGCACGCAATCTCTCCGAACTACTGCGCCTCACCATGACCCTCCCTGCTGCAGACAATCGAGGAGGAGGGCGACGCGACGGCAAGGGAGACGACGACGACGACGAAGACGACGACGACGGCAGCGGCGGCGGTGGCGGCAACGGCGGCAGCCGCGACGGCGACGGCGACGCCGACGTCGACGTTGACGCCGACGCCGACGCCGACGCCGACGCAAACGCTGACGCCGACGCCGCCGCCGCCGACGACGACGACGACGACGACCACGACCACGACGACGACGACGACGACGACGACCACGTCGACGACGACGACGACCACGACCACGACGACGACCCGGGCGACAACGACGACGACGACGACGGCGGCGACGACGACGGCGCCGCCCACCACAACGACGTCGACGCGACGATGGCGACGACGACGACAACGACGTCGACGACGACGACGGGCACGACGGTGACGACGACGACGACGACGACGACGACGACGACGACGACGGCGGCGGCGACGACGACGACGACGACGACGACGACCACGGGCAATGCCGGCCGCAACGACGACGACAGCCGCCAGGAAGCGCGCGCGCAATGTTTCCCCAGGGAAACACTGGACGAGTTGGCCCGCGCTCTTGCGCTCTAGCCTGGGCGGCTCCGCCTTGGGCTCTTCGAGCCGCTGGAGCTCTACGCAAGAAGACGGCGGCGGCTGGTGCCAGCAGCAGCAGCAGCAGCAGCAGCAGCAGCAGCAGCAGCAGCAGCAGCAGCAGCTGGCGGGAGGGCAGCGGCTGTGCCCGCGGGGGCGCATTCAAGAGGCATCACCCCGCGCGAGCGCCGGCGGCCCACCCAGCGCGTCGGGCGGCGGAGGGAGCGCGGCAGCAGCGCCGTTGCGGGCCTGGCGCCAGCTGGGGTTGGCCTCCCACGGCACGGTCCAGGCGACCGTGGCGGGCTGGAGATGCTCACGCATCAGGGGTGGCGGGCCCGAGGTGGTCAGCTTTCCTTGCCAGAGCCAAGAGCTGACCCCTCCTCCGCCTGTGAGGGGGCGGATAGGCGTGCCAGTCCGCACCCCGCTCGTCCAGTGGAGCCACGTGGCGTGGCGCCCGTCGGGGAAGGGTGGGGACCCGACGGGGTGGGCCCTGCCGTCGGCGCGAGCAGCCCCGCTGGAAGCGCGCGCTGCCGCCTCCCCTGGGGCCAAGAGCGGGGCTGGCCGAGGCGCGCCGGGAGCGTCGCGAGGTGCCCTCAGGCCGCGGCGCCAGCGGCGAGGCCGGAGACCGACGCGGGGCGGGCGCGGCAGGCGGAGGCGCCTCCGGCGGCTCCCGCGGCGGGGCCGAGGGCGGAGGCCGACCGTGCAGGGGCGGCGGGGCAGCCAGCGAGCGGCGCCAAGTCAGGAGGGGAAAAAACACACAGACACAATTAATCGGCGATTCCAAGAAAATATGGGAAAATATGGGAAGTGGGGGGGAAGACAAAAACCCGGAAAATATGGGAAAATATGGGGGGTATTTTTATTTGTGTGTATTTATTTGTGTGTCCCAGTTCCCCTTCACCAAGGCGGGGAAGGGGTAGGCGAGGCTGCTGGCGCCGCCGGCACGGCGGGCACAGGTAGGACCCACACGAGGCCGAGCCTGGCACGCGGCGACAGGCCCGCCGGCTCCGTAGAGCCGTTCCAGCCGCAGGTCGACTGCACGCGCGTAGGAGTGGCCCTTCCCCGGAGCGACCTCTGGTGAGGGCCTATTCGGGTCCCCCGATCGCCGAGCGCGATGCGATAGAAGCGTCTTGCGCGCTCGTGTCTGGTCCCCCCGCGGCCCCCCAAAAAGGCGCGCACCAAAGGTCACTTTTACCCAGGGCCACTCTTACCCAGGGTCACTTCGACCTGGTGGGCCCTGTTCCTGGGGCTTCGGCAGGGGGGGGGCCACTTTCAACACAAGAGGCCACCACGGGGGAATGCCTCCCCAAAGGGGGCCCGGCCGTTCCTCAGGAAGTGATGGTTTGCTTTGGAACAACAAGGGCGCCGTTCCTTATGCAGCGTTCCTTTTGGCAGTGCGAGACCTCTAGCCGGACAGGGGCCCCACTGGCCCCACAAGGGGGGCCAAAGTCCCACCGCCGCCGCCGCCGCCGCACGGCATCGGCCCCCGAGGGCCGGCAGCCCCCCCCCCCTTCCGAAGGCTGGCGTGAGGTCCTCTTCCTGGAGCCAAAGCGGCTACGGCCCTGAGCCGAAACGCCTACAGGTCCATGACCCTGGCCCGCTCCTCCTCCTCCTCCTCCTCCTCCTCCTCCTCCGACCCTGGCCCGCTCCTTCTTCTCCTCCTCCTTCTCCTCATCTTCTTCGCTCCTTGATGCCCCCAGCACTGGCAGCACTCTTCCTGTTGGTATTTGCTAGCTGCTATGGCGAGGGCCGAGTGCAGAGAGCGCCCGGTCTTTGGCCCGTCTCTCTCGCAAGCTCTGTTGATCGCCTATCTTCGCTTACAATCATGCCCCCTCTCCTCAGCTTCCCTTTCCTCCCGTCGAAGGATGTGCTCCCACAGCTGACGTGCTCAATCATGATCTGCCAGCGTTAGGTGCTATCAGTGCCCTCCCGCCAGCCCTATCGCACCCAATTTCTCCATGTGCCCGGTCAGCTGCTCTCCTGCCTCCGCCAGGGGCCGAGGAGAAGTCGTCCGGTACGAGGAGAAGGCGTTGACAGAGTCTGGTCCGCAGAGCGGGCGAGGGGGGATACGGCTAGATGCCGAAAGGGGTCGGAAAGTGGATGGAGGAAGGGATCGGGCGGGGCTAGGACAGGGATAGCTCGTGCCCACGCGCTCTGAGGAGGCGGCGCCCGACACGTCTTGCAGGACCGCCGGATCTCTGGGATCCCCGATTCGTCCTGGTCCACCTGTGTCCCTGTCCTGGTTTCGTTTTGGATATGGTGTTCTCTCTGACTGGCACCGCGCGCGTCGTGGGCATGGGAAGCGGGGGTTCTGCTGCGGCCTGCGGCTCACGGTCGCTGTGCTGGCCGCTGCCAGCGACAACCCTTGCGGAGCTGGCTCGTGAGATCGTTGCGGAGAAGGGTCGGGGAGCGGATGGAGGAGGGGGAGGAGCATCCTCCCCTCCCTCCATCCGCTTCCCGACCCAGTCCTGCATCCGATTTTTCCTTTCGCGGAGCCTAAATCAGGTTACTGACTGCAGAGCGCTGACTGCTAACGATTCTAAGTCCAAGGCATCGGGCGCGAACGAAGAGACCCAATCTTGGATAAAAGTCCCAGCTACAATCACTGGCAGGTCCTTTGGCCTAGGCTCGATCTGGCCTTGGGCTTGATTTCGGTTCGATGCTCGTTCTGCCCCATTCGCGTGGTGCTCGGAGTGGCCTCTGGGGACATGCCAGGCATGTGATGCACGACTCTGTTCAGCTGAGGTCGGTGACCTTGCAGGGGCCCCTAAATGCTCCAGATGGTCACCGGCGGTTGGTCGCTGGATGACTGCGGGAAACGCTTTGTGTTCGTTGTCCCAGCACTGAACAGAAATGGCCCCTTCTAAGAGCCCACTGCGGCGGCAGGTAGTGTGAGGTGGGCAGTATTTGTCCCCCCAATCTGCTGCCGTTGTGTTGCACGGCGCGCGCATGCCATAGCCAGCAGGCCGAATCGGTGACTGATGCATCTTTAGCATCATGCCTCCTGCGCAGCCCCCCGGGCCGGGGGACGCGCGAGGGCCGCGGCGCGCGGCAGCTCCGTGGGCCACGAGGTTCAAGGCTCGCATCCTCGCCGCGTGCTTCCTGTGCAGGCCTTCCCTGCTGCCTTGATGGCAGTAGTGCTCACGGCGCCTCCTTCCGAGGGCGAGGTCGGCGACTCTGTCGCCCAGCTTGAGGCCGACCTGGCAGTACTTGTTCGAGGGCTGCTGGGTCCCGAAGATCGTCCAGGTCAAGGCGGCGAGCTTGGGGATGGTCTCCACGAAGCTGTCCGCCCGCACTGCAGACGATTTGCCAGGCGCTCGCGCGTTCGTCGCGGACCTCGGGCTCGACGCGTCCACGAGCATCCCGAACAGGGTCGATGCTGCTGCTGTGGTCAATGCTTGGAATCGGCCACGCGCGGATGGGGGCGGGGGGAGGGGGGAGGGCTTCTTAGAAGCACTCCTGTTTCTTAGAAGGCGCGGGCCTTATCCACAGATGTAAGGTCGACGCCTTCTAAGCAGCAGCCTCCCTCTAAGAAGCCCTCCCCCCTCCCTCCACCCCCTTGGGCGCACCGCCAATATGGTCAACGCTTGGAAGGCGTCCAAGATCCGGGTCGAGAAGCGACCCAAGTGGAGGCCGAGGCCCGTTCCGCCGATCTCCCCACGAGCCCCTCGGCAGTCGCAGCATCCCGGAGCTCGTGCGCGGCTGCTCGACGAGACACCGCGCGCTGGGGGACCGCGACATCCCGTCGACGCAGCGTGTGAACGCTCCGAGGCAGGACTTTGAACATGACCACCGCCTGGAGGATCGATTTTCGGGGGCCGCGGCAGGCGGTGGATATGGACACATTCGGGCCCCCGGGGGCCAAAATGTACCCACATCCACCGCCCGCTGGGGCACCAGAACGTCGGTTCCCAGGCGGTGGATATGGATACAGTTCCCGCCTCGCAAACACATTGCTCGAGCAGGCCGAGGAGGGCGAGCTGGTTGCCGAGAACCTATCCGTTGTTCCTTCGCGCGCGCAGACTTCGAGCGTCGAGGTATGGGACAGTCTTCGGAAACTGGAGCATACACAGTATCAGTGGAGGGCAGTTTCTCAATCCCGGGGACGACGTCGGGGTAGTGTGGTGTATATTTTTGCTCCCTGTTATCCCGGTGAAACCGCGAAAATGCATACACCAGGATCCCGTATACGCCAGGATCCGCTCTCCTGTGCGAACCTCCGTGCCGGGCAGGAAAGAGCGTCGGTGCATAGAGTGCGGCCCCTTGCGCGCCTCGAAGGAACGCCAGGCAGCGCCCAGCTGGATGACGAACGCCCCGTCGAACTAGCGCGACCAAGAACCCAACGGCACGCTCAGGGTCGCTCTGGGGGCGGGCCATCCGCACCGTGACCACGGACTCCGGAGACCTGATGTGGCGGGTGCCAGCTGACCTCGCGTGGTGGAGGAGGAGGAGGAGGAGGAGGAGGAGGAGGAAGACAAGGAGGAGGAGGAGGAGGAGGAGGAGGAGGAGCAGGAGGAGGAGGAGGGGGAGGAGGAGGAGGAGGAGGAGGAAAAGGAGGATGAGGATGAGGAGGGAGCTCGCCCGCCCCCTCTGTCCTCTTCCCGCTCTTGCACGCTGGCCAATGCGCTTCTCGGTGCCCCCGTTCAGTTCTATCGCTCGTTCAGCCAGCTCTGCCTCGCCACCGGCGGAAAAGCGCGGGAGCTTCAGCTGCTGAGGGTTCCGAACCCAAAGTCCCTGCGCGTTTACCGCGCGACAGAGATGGGCGTGCTCGTCGAATGGCTTCTGGGCGTTGACGTCTTCCGAGCCGAGGTGAAGGCACCCCGACGGCAGGCTCAGTCTCCGGCCTTCGCGGGCGATCCCTTGGGATTTCGAGCACCAGGTCCGGGAGTGGATTTTGCAGCGGGGTGGGCACTGGCAGTCGCACGCTGCTGCAGGTGCTGCGCGCGGCCCAGACGGACGCGGCGCTGTTGCAGAACCCCTTCTCCGACCCCTCGGGCGCGGCTGCGGCTGCTTGCCGCAGCGGTGGCCGCATCGACTGCTGGGGCGGCGGCCGCGGCGGCCCAGCGCTCCGCCGATCGTTCCCGCAACGCGACGCCCGGGCCCCCGCCTTGGGGCTCGTCGGCCTGGCCGCGCAGAGCTGCCCGCGCCGGGCCGGGGCCGCGGCCCGGCCGCAACGGGCCCGGCGGCCAAGGCGCGGGCAAGGGCGGTCGTGGCCGCGCCGCGCCCCGCAGGGCCGCCGAGGGTTGTGAGGCCGGCTGCGGCAACAGTGCAGCGGATGGCCGCCCCCCCCCCCCAGTGCTTAAAGTTCAATCGCCCCAGCGGCTGTCCTGGGGGCTGCGGAGTTGCGCGCGTTTGCTTCCTCTGCGGCGGCGCCCGCGGGATGCGCTATTGCCAGCTGAAGCCAAGACTGGGTGCCCTGGGCGCCCCGCCAGCAGCGGCCGCTGGCGGTCGCCCTCGGGGGCGACGCGGGACCCCGATCGGAGGGCCCGCGAGTGCCGCCTCCAAAATGAAGCTTGGGGCAGCGACCGCGGGAAGGCCGCAGAGGGCGTCAGACGCTTTCAGGAGCCTCCCTCTGTCTTCGCGGGCGCGCGCTGCCAGGCTGATATGGGGTCCTTTTTGCGGAAGGACTTGCATGCGGCCTTCGCCGGCTACGCGGACGTCTGCTTCGAGTTCGAGTGCGTCGACCCCCTTGCGAGGTGAGTCGGGCCACTGCGCTGCCGATTATGAGTTGAGGCAGGCGCTCCTCGCCCAGATTCGGTGGGCTCCTTTCGACATCACTATTGCTGTGCTGCCGCCGCGTCAGCCGCTCCTCCTGGTTGACTTCGCGCTGGAAGCTCTCGCAGCGGCGTCTGCGTGCAGCTCGCGCGGCGCATCGCGGAGACGCGCGCGGCGTCTGCTTCTGTATCCCGAGGGCCCCGCATCCGAGCCAGCCAGCATCTGGCCATGCTCGGCGTGCCAGCACCTCGCTGACACCGGCATGATGTGGGCCGCGGTCTCTCAGTGCCATGTCGCCGATCTGGGCAGCCACCAGCCCGCCGGCCTCGTCGCGGACGCCCCGCAGCTCGCCGAGGCCCCAGAGGTTTTCCAGGGCCGGCTCCAGCTGGAACGGGGCGCGCTCGACCAGTGCCTCGCCGATGGCCATCTGCGAGGATGTCTTCAACCGCTGGGGGACCCGCGACCTTCGCCCCGCTTGGCGCGGCATCCACCGCCCGGCCACCGCGCCAGCCCACCCCTCAGACATGCGACGTCTTGATTTTTTCGGCACGGCGCCACCAGAAGTCCAGACTCCTTGCCTGGGGCCGATTTTCATCCCGAGTCGTTGTTTGACGGCCCTGGGGGCCCCGCGAGGGCCCCCAGGGGCCGACAAAGAGCGAAGACCTTGCCGTCCTGATTTTTTCACGATGCGATCGCGTCTGGGCCCCCCAGCTGCAGCCGCGGGCGCGCTGGCTCCAGGGCGGCCGCCGCCGCCTCGGCCCCCGCTCGGCGCGCGCCGACGGGGCGACGGCCGCTCCCCGCCGGCCGCCGCGCCAGTGGGCGCGCCCGCCCTTCCGCCGGAGCCGCCCCGGCGGCTCCGGCGAGGCGCAGCTTCCTTGCCGTGGAGGCTCGGAATCGGGCACAGCCGGGACCCCGGTTAAGAGTAGTCGGTCAGTGATTGGGCCCCGAGGCCCAAAACATGGACTGGAATCACGGAGCCAGGTCTGCTGTACCTGGTGCTTTTCGGGCGACGGCAATTCCGGTTAGTGGAGTGGGACGGGGGGGGCGTCCCCGGTACAGATTACAGATCACTAAACCAGGTCCCACTAAACCCAGTCCTGCCATTGCCTGACGGAAGCCAGGCGAAGGCTGGCAAACGCGTGGCTGCTAAGACGGAGCTCCGGGGAATTGCTTTTTCTTCCTGGAAGCAGCCCGCTTTTTCTTTGGCGCGGCGGCCGCGGCTTTGCCAGCCCTCGCGCGGCTTCCGAGGAGGCGGCGACGGCATCCTCGGCTTTCCTGCGGGCGGGGTGCCGCGCGGCGGCCGGCCCTCGTCGAGTGGGCTCCCCGCT